GAGCGCACACACACACACACACCACACCACACACACACACACACACACACACACACAACACACACACACACTCACTCACTACTCTCTCTTTCTCTCCTCTCACCACAGTGCACCCTGTTCTCTTCTGACTATGTGTTCTGTCGACAGGCGACGAGTGACCTGTGCTGTTCTGTTCGGTGATCTGTCTGTTGTGCCGTTCTGAGCCGCGCTTTGTGGGCTGGGTGGCACGCTCTGACCGGCCGCCCTGCCCGCCGACAGGCGCCGAGCCCGGTGCTGAGCTGCTAGAGGGGCCGCAGCAGGAGGGCCCCGCCATGCCCGTCATCCGGCACAAGAGCGTCGACTACGTCGGCATGTTCGAGTACAAGAAGGAGGACGAGGAGGCCCTCATCCGCAGTCTCATCTCGGTGGGCACCACGCTCAGCGGTCCGCCCAGTCCACGGGCCGGCTGCTTATGGGCAGTTTTCCCGCACTCGAGGAGATGCCATGTTTTAGTTCTGCTATACAGTTCGGTATGATTCAGTGGAATCTGCCTAACCTGTATTCGGCACTTACCGAGAACTGTTATGTGTAAGCCTGTTTCGCTGCCGCAGACATCACGCGTGGCGCCTCTGTGTGCTTGAAGCAGGACCAGAGTTATTTTCCGGGCAGTGTCCATCTGTGCATGTGCCGACACCCTGCTGTGCATCCCACTCGCCACACTTGCGGCGCTGCTGTGGCGGCCTCAGCCAACTGACCAGCCGGCCGGGGTCGGCCGGTCATGGCTGCTCTGTAGGGCTCTGTGCTGCGGCGCTGTGCTGAGGCGGTGTCCTGGGTCGTTGTGTGTGTGGTGGGTCTGGCGGGATTACTTCGTGTTGGTCTTATGAATGCTCTCACTTGACATATTCACTTGACCTATTTGCTTGAGTGGTTGTGTTGAAGTCAGGTTCTTTCTTGAGCGTGCCTCGTTGTGTGGACCGCGTCTCGCAAGCTTTTCAGATGTTAGGATAGTTGTTTACCGAGCTCGAGAGTTCAGTGGTACCGAACTGTCCGTGCCAGGTCTGGCAACGATATGACGCCGCGGTCCAGCTGAACATTGTCTTCTCGATGGAAGACAGTCGTCTGTTAGGGGATGAATTATGGCGTAGCTGCTCGGCGATAAGTCCTGCTGCTCACGTGCTGCGACTGTGACGGTTGCCGTGACTGTGACATGACCTGTCGGCATGAGTGTCGCGGTCACCGTCGCCGCGACTGGGACCGGAGCCTGGGAGCGGGGCTCAGGATCGGTGACTCGGGGGTTGAGCTCCTTCGCCAGACACACGGCTGGGCCGTCGTCGCGACCGTCACGTGTTTCCGCGACTGTAACCGCGACTGTTGCCGAGACTGTCTCGACGACCTGTGACCCGTGACCGGTGTCGCAGCCGATGTTGTGCTGGCGATGGCTGGTGAATTCACCCTCGGTCCGCCAGACCTGCGACCGAAGACGGCGGCCGTCCTGCTGCCCGGCCTGCCCGCCTACATCTTGTTCATGTGCATTCGACACACGGACCATGTCAACGACGACGAGAAGGTTGCGCCGCCTGACTGACGGCCGCCATCAACGGCGTCAAGCGCGTGGTGACGAAGCGACGCGACGACGCCGACTCGCTCGTCATGTGGCTGGCCAACGTGTGCCGCCTGCTGCACCAACCTCAAGCAGTACAGCGGCGACGTGGTGAGCGGGACGGGACGGGACGGGACGGGACGGGACGGACGGGACGGGACGGGGACGGGACCGGGGACGGGGACGGGGACGGGGACGGGGACGGGGACGGGGACGGGGACGGGGACGGGAAGGGGACGGGGACGGGGACGGGGACGGGGGACGGGGACGGGGACGGGGACGGGGACGGGGACGGGGACGGGGACGGGACGGGGACGGGGACGGTACGGGGACGGGGACGGGACCGGGACTGGGGACCGGGACCGGGACCGGACCGGGACGGGACGCAACGGGACGCTTGCTGGCATGTGTGAAGCTTACGTGGAGGTGAAGTGGTATCTGAGCATGGGAGGCAAAGTATCCAAACGGTGGACGCGTGGACTAACTGCTGTGCGAGTGCCGGTCCAGTTATTTAATAAGGATGTGGTTGCATTTTGTCTGTTGCATGTAACCTTCTACCGTGATCCTTATGAAAGGTATGCACACTTAGGGCATTGCTTTTCCGGACACAATGTTGGTTAGGCGTGATTCCGCCCGTCTGCCACATCATTCACGTTCAGTTTTGTTGCGTGCCAGGCGTTCCAGTCGGAGAACACTGAGAAACAGAACGAGCAGTGTCTGAAGAGCTTCGACCTGTCCGAGTACCGCCAGGTTGCTCTCCGACGTCGCAATGTGGATATACCAGGTACGCGGTCTCCCGGCTCGGCCCGTCTGCGGATGTGCCGGGTGCGCTTGCCTTGACCCCTCGAAAGTGGCGTGCGAATGTGTCACGTACGCTGGCCTCCCGTCTGACGCAGCCGTGTGGGCTTATACCTCGTGGACCCGACCAGGCCCTCTGAACCTACCTGGCCGCCGTGCGCGTCAGCAGGGGGTCAGGCGGCTGGGGGGGGGGGGGGGGGGAGCGCATGCAGACGATGGTGATGAACTAACCCGCCATCCTGTGCGGCAGCTGGTGATCAGCTGCTGGAGGAGCGCGTGCAGCCGGTGGTGGTGGCCGGCCGTGCTGGAGCACGAGGCCCATCGCCGGCCTGACGGGTCGGGCCGGCCGGCATCCGCGGTCGTGCCGGCTCCTCGTCCCGCCAGCTGGAGAGCCCCCGTGAGCAGCGAGCACGCCCTGGACGCCCTGATGGCCAGGCCTGCGCAAGATCTACCGCACGCTCTGCGAGCTCGGCGTCGACCCGGAGATCACGGCGCAGGTCTTCAAACAGGTCAGCGGGGGGCCGCCACTGCACGCGGCGGCCGGGCCCCGGCGCTCATTGGGGAGGCGGCGGCTGCAGGCGGAACACGGCGTCACGTTGGGCCACGGACCGGTGCGGGCCGGCGGGAGGCAGTCAAACCCAGAACGTCCGGCTTCCGCGTCCAGCTGGGGAGGACTGTGGCATGCCCCGTCATGCAGTCTACGTGTGACTCGCGCGTGTCAATCGGCTTGGTTTCTAAGCAGACGCGGTGTAGTCTAGGAGTATTTGGTACCTGGAAAAGGTCGTGTATGCAGGTGGAAACGTCTGTTTGACATGCCCACAGCTGTCTTCAGGACTGGGAAGTTCCGTGTTTCTGCCTGTGATGTGACATATGGCGAGGATAGCTGAGCTGGCGCGTGCTCAGTAGCGGGCTGTCGAGCAGCGTCTGGCTGTCGGCCTGCCGACGCCGCACGCCTCTGATGCTGACTGTTCTCCGTCCCTCTCTCCAGCTGTTCTACTCGATATGCGCGCACTCGCTGAACAACCTGCTGCTGCGCAAGGAGCTGTGCCACTGGACCAAGGGCATGCAGATCCGCTACAACCTCTCGCACCTGGAGCAGTGGTGCAGGGACAACCGGCTCCACGTGAGGCGTGACCCCTGCCATCCCTCTCCGGCGGCCGCAACGGCGAGGGGCAGGACTGTGGTCTCACTGGTGACGTCGCATTTTCCACCCCTGTCAATCCTTCGGCCAGGGGAATCGATATACGGTTTGGGGGCGGCACCTTTGGGCGCCGGGCACAGCCTAAACCGGGCGGCTTGAGCCTGCCCGGGCCCCGCCCGGGTACTGGTTGTTAAGCGCATTATTGGCCTCCATTCGCCGGGAAAAACGCCAGTGGGATAGATGTTGCGACGAGGCTATCACGAGCTGAAGCATTGCGACACACATGCATCACGCACTGACTTCTCCGTTGCCAATGCTTGGTCGGCACTGGTCGAACGTTTGCCGTTCGGTGGTGCCGTGCAGCCCATGATGTGTGACGCCACGCGGCCGGTCGCCGCTGACGCCCGCCCTCGCCGCCGGCAGCAGGACCAGGAGACGGGCGTCATGGACACGCTGCAGCCCATCATTCAGGCGTCGCAGCTGCTGCAGGCGCGCAAAACCGAGGAGGACGTGTCGCGTGTTTGCGACATGTGCGACAAGCTCACCTCTCCCCAGGTGGGTGGCGGGTCCGCCGCGCCGCCGACACCCGCTCTGACGGGCCGGGACGTGGCCCGGCCTGGCGCGCGCCGCTGGCTGGCGGTGTTCAGCGGGAGAGTGGGGTCGCGCCGACAGACGGACGGTCTGTGGCGGCCCTCGCTGGCCGGGGCCTGGGCCGCGCGCGGATTGGCTGTCGGCGTCAGCTGAGCCCACTAACGGGCCTCCCGGTGCCGCAGATCATCAAGATCCTGAACCTGTACACGCCGGACGAATACGAGGAGCGCGTACCGATCAGCTTCATTCGCAAGGTTCAGGACCATCTGCAGAAGCACCGCGAGCCGGACACGGACAGCTCGGTCAGTGGCGGGCTGCGTCAGGCGCCACCGCCTCCACTCGGCTGGTGGTGACCTCTGCTGCATCTGTCGCGATGATAGATGTGATAGTGGGAAGTGGGTTGTGGTGGGAGGGGGAGATAGAATGCAAGGTTGCAATGTTCTGTTGGGTGCTTGACTGCGATGTTACTAGATTGTTGATGACTACTCGTATTTTGTGAGAAAGTGCTCCCGCCAGTCTAGTGAAAATATCGTGTGCACCCAGTTTTGTCTTCAATGTAAACGTGGCTTACAAAGTGGTTTCGGCTCCCAGGTGTCCATGGGCGATGGCATCCGTTTGTGGTAGATTAGTGCTGATTGCGCCGCTGTCTCAGTGGCGGGCCTCAGGACACTGTGTCGGGCTGTGGCACTGTTGGTGTGTAGGCGCACCCGCCGGCCGCCGCCCGCTCGTCTGACGTCACGGCTGACGTCACGGGCTCGTTGCAGGCGCGGCTGCTGATGGACACCAAGTTCGCCTTCCCCGTGCGGTTCCCGTTCAACCCCTCCAACATCCGGCTAGAGGACATCGAGATCCCGGACATCCTCAACTTGCCCATGCTGAAGAAGTTGTGAGCCGCTTACTGCGCCTACTGCGGTGGAGTCGGCTCCGGGACGGCGCCGACCGAGAGATGGCGCCGTCGGCCCGCCGCCGCCGCCCGGGCGGAGGGCACTGCGCCACGCACGAGCGCGACAGGCGGTCACCACGCCGGCCGGTGCTGACGGGCGGCCGCGGCCCGGCTGGCCCGCGCCGATACGCCTGGGGTGTGTACCGAGGGGGAAATTACGCCGGCCCGGCGGCGGGCGCGCCAATCGGCTCGGGCAGGCAACTATTTATGTCTATTTATGTTCTTTGTTATCGATAGCTTTATCATGGTTTGTTGATTTTGCGGAGGATCAGCTTCAGGTCTGTGGCAATACTGTCGACGGCTGCTCTGCTCGCACGGGTGCTGTGCGAGTCGGCAGTGCGGCGCGTGTCTGGCCAGCGGTGCTCCGCAACGGGCAGCTAATTCACGGGATTCCACGACCCCGGCGGGCGTCAGCGATGTATGTTTCCCTCGTCTGCAACGGTCGACGATTCAGTTACGGTCACAATTGGAGCGCTTTTATGATTGGCATGTGATTTGACTCGCCGCGTGGCGCGGTCCGCCGCGTCGGCGTCGTCTCGTGCCTCTCCCGGCACGTTCAACGTGACATTCCTTACGATGTGATAGCTGCTCTTTTAGAGATCCCGCCCTCGTTTCGTGTTGCCCGCGCGGTGTCTACTTAGGCCTGCGTCGTTCAGCTCGGTTGGCGCGCGGACGCCAGCGGTCGGCGCCGTTGTTTTGTAACTGCCGGTCGGTGCCGGGGCCCTCCGCGTTAGCCTGCCGCTATGTAGTGGAATATACATGTGCTGCGAGACCGGCCTGTGCAGGCGGCGCGCGGTCGGCAGCGAAGACGCCCAGGCGGCGGCCAGCAGCACAGGCGGGCATGGTAGCCCCGTGACGGGTACGTGAGCCGAGGTGGCCACTGCACTGGTGACAGCCCATTCCTGCCGCTCGGTGAAACGGGGAGCGGAGGGCATTCTGCGGCGCATGAAGGCAGGCGAGGGGATGGAACATGTGGCAGGGTGTGGGACGCAAGTTGTGGCAACTCCAACTTGTCCGTCTCCTGCGCGTCTATCAAAGCGTGCCAAAATATCGGCCAGAACGGATGATAACACCTTTCTGCGAGCTGTCTGCACGTGCCAGTGACTGTCCAGCCGCCACAGACGTCCGACGGTTCGGCGTCTGACCTGGCCAGCTGCTTAATGCGACCACGCGGCGCCTGACAGGTCACAAGCGAACGATGATGGGCGCGTCTCCCGCTCAGCTCGTCATGTGTCGCCACGCCTGCAGCCGCCGGCGAGACAGGGGGCGGCGCGAGTCTGTGTGCTCGGGCGGTGCCGGGTGGGCACGTTCGCGGGCGTCCTGACGGGCCCCGCTGCCCACAGCCTCGTCAGTCCGGCCACCAGAATCACACACGCCAGACGTTCGCAGAGAGCTGTATTCGTTTGGCCGCGCGCACCACCTCAGCCGCTCGAGCACCGGTGTCGGGGGGAGAGCTTCTACCTGGCGCCGAGGTCGGTCGCGGTCCAAACAGGGCTCCAGCTCCTGCTGCCGCTCCTGCTAGCGGCGGCAGCTGGTGCGGCCGTTTAGGGTTCAGCCCGGGTCTCAGCCGCGCGGAACCTCGTCGCACAGTACTCTTCCTCTGAAAGGGAGCGGGCGGAACGGCAGATCAGATACGCAGACGTGATCTCGCGGGCGCGTCAGACAATGCTCAGTCAGGGCCGGCCGGCCGCCCAAAACTAGCGCTTCGTTGGGCCCAACAGTTCTGCCTGTCGCCTCTGTAGGCTTCTGGTGTCGCAGAGATAGAGGGTTGCAGGGAACGCCGGCTGTTCCGCGTTTCGCCAACTGAAGCCGCGTCTCGTGACGATTAATCCTCGCCTGGACGGCATCACTCCTGATTTGAGAAACACAAAGATTTCGGAAATTGCGCGGCTGCAGTCGGACACAAAGATGCCTCATCAGAAAGCAAGCATTCGTTCACTTGGCGCCGGCCGACCAACCCGAGCTTGGGCCGGTGGGTGGCCGCGGCACTAACCTGTTTTGCAGCCGACGGTGTAGTAGTCTCCGATGTAACCGTGCCGACACATACACCGGTAGCTGCCGAACGTGTTCATGCAGAGCACGCGCTCGCTGCGGCACTCGTTTCGCTCCAGCCGGCACTCATTGACATCTGGAAAGGCACGCGTGGCCGAAATGGTGAAGCGGGTGAGCCGACCGGGGTGCGTGTCCTTGTAAACATGCATACGTGCTCTATGCTTCTACGTCGCTATGTGTCATTTCAGTGCAGGTACATGTCATCTCGGTAAAGGCAAGCACAGGAGGGCGCATTTCCCATTTTGTGCCGAATGGAGCATCACCTGAGCTGAACTGTGTGCTGGTCAGCTCAGACGTTACTATTGGACCCAAGCTGGTGCGAAACTGACCTCCACAGCGGCGGCCATCCCACTGCCAGCCGACCGGACAGTGCAGCGTGGGCGGAGCGTACCCTGCGTCAGACGGCATAGGTCGGCATAGGTCAGACGGCATAGGTCACGACACGGGTGCACTACGGCACGGCGCGGTCTGATGAAATGATCCGCGTTAGCATCAATAGAAATACCAGACAAGTTTGTGTTAGACGCGAATTGATTTGTGCCAAGATATTAAATGCAATGATTTTCAAAAATATTACCAATACTTACATAATTTGGCGACTAATAATATTTTTGATCGCCAATAACCACGTAAAGAGACCGACCAGAACCTTCGCCAGTGCAGGACAATCGAAAAACGCGCTGACGAAGTGCTGCTTTTGAGCAGTCATGGTTACAATAGTTGAAAAGAAAGCGACGCAACGTTATGTAGCAGCGAGTTTGAACCTCCCTGAAAAAACGTCATATGATCGATCACGGCACAAGAATACCGCATCTGACGTCTATTTTACATCACCCTATCTCCGAGGCCAAATCATTAATATTACGTGTCATTTAAGGTCATATTCTAGTTCAAATGACACAGCCCCACATCATCCAAACGTTGCCGGCTGATTTCGGACTTTTCAGCGTTAGACTATTCACCGGCGCAGGAACTAGCATCCGTCAGAATTCTGACCTTTCCAGGTCACATTTTACGAGCGCGTAAGAGAACATAGCGTGTATTCGCCCGGACCCGTCCAAAAAACCGACTGGCGCATGCGAACGTCGGGTCCCTGCCGCCGCCTCAGCGGTCGACCCTTCACCCCCGGCGGATCGGGAGACCCGTGGTCAGGCGACGCCCCCCGGCACCCAGCCAGATGCAGAGCTCGGAAGACAGCGAGGGCGAGGGCGCACACCCGCACAATCACACCACACTTCCACCTGATCGCAAGCAATCATGCCACTCTACCAATGTACAACCACTCATAATCGTCAATGAGATCGGTAGGGGCACTGAAGCCGTACGACTCGGCTGGTTGCCGGCGAGCGCGACCGCTCCTCAGCGGTTCCCGTGACCCTCTCTCCTTGTGGAGGATCCGACCGAGGCGGTGGTAGCGCCGCACCGTTGCTGAACACGAACACGAACAAGTCATGTTTCCGCACACCGCACTCATCCAATTCATGCTCACCACAGCACAATGATTGAGAATTCGTACTGCCGCTCGACACTTCAGCGCGATCGTTCCACGTTAGCAATGGACACTCAGCAGGTTACGCGAATGACGGGCTCGGTGGCACGGCAGGCGGATCTGAACCGCCCCCCCCCCCCCCCCGTGTAATCATGATTCGATGCAATGTTCGTCATCGGCAGCGTGCCTGTGTCGTCCCCAAACTCCTCACCCGCACCAGGCATTCGGCTCCCGTCCGAGCCTTTCCGCGGGTTCCGGCGCCGCAGGCACCGCACGTGCCAGGGCGTGCCGTCGGCCTCAACCACCTGGTCCGACACGACCCGCGTAACTACGCCCTGGCGCGACACATCGGTATACCGCGTGGCGGGCCCCCGGCGCCGCATCCACACCGCATCGCCGACGCGAAATGACGATGAGACGGGTTCCTGCATCAGCGGCGGCGCGGGTTCGGCAGCGCGCTGGGTATTCGGCAGGTCAGCACCGCCTGCGCGAAATACCCGCGCCATCGGCGTGCTTAGCGAGTTAGCGCCGTCCCGCGAAGTTGCACTGCAACGATGCACCGCTCCACTGACTGAGCACCGTTGCGGGCGACCATCACATTTATAGTTCGGTGGTGGCGCTCCACGATTTCGTTGCCGCCGGCCTCGTGCGCCGCGCGAAATCACAGCCGAAACCCCCACTTCGCGGCGAATACAGCCATTCGCCGGCTCCGAAATTCAGTGGCATTGACCAGCAAAAGCTCAGCCGGGGCGCCACGTTCTAGGAACACTCGATGCAGATGATCCGTTACTTCCGCAGCGTCAGACCGTCGTAGTGCGCTCCAAATGCTGCACCGGGGCGGCCCGCAGTCTACGATCGTGAGGTAGAGGCGGCCTTGGCAATGGGTCACGTCGATCGCGAGTCGGGTCCATGTTGTCGGGACACCGAGTGAGCCAGACCGCCAGCGAGTCGACGCAGGGTCAATCGAACGGCACACATCGCACTGACTGACAACGGCTCGCACGTCGGCCCGTGCCACGTGTCCGCCGAGGTCCCGCCTGGCGTACCACAGGGACCGGCGGATCCCCTGGTGCCACGTCCGTTCGTGTATGCTTTTAATCCGGACACGAACGTCGCTTGCCGTTGGCTCGTGAACGGCTTCTTGGTCCACCGGGGCACCGCAACTTCTTCCGGCCCGATAGTTGCGGACACCGAAGTCGCATCTCGCGAGGGTGCCGTGAAACATTTTGGCGTGGCGGCTGCTGCGGCTGAAGTCGCATCTCGGGGCTCGGCTCGCAGCCAGGTCTGGGGAACTCGGGTGAGCGAGTCGGCAGGATTGTCTTGTGACCGCATCAGCTGGAGGGTCACCGAGAGCTGGAACTCGTCGACCAACTGTCGCATGAGGCCAATCCTGCGTCTGATCAGCATCAGCACTGTCGGCGCTCCAGACGCAGCTGCAAGCACGCTTTTCTCAGGTCGACCACGGCCAACCGGGCACCACGCTGGCGCCAGTGGCGCAACTGCTCGGCGCACACGTCAGCGTCCGCGGTGGGCCCGGTCACATGCCGGTTGAGTTCGCAGTAGTCCAACACCGGCCTGACCTTCCCCTTGTGCGGCTGTTGAACTGCCATCAAGGGAATCAGGCCCCGAGCCGGCCCGTCCTCTTGCTCGTCATAGGGCCGGAGCCATCCGTTCGTCATTCACTCAGCCAACTCGCGGTCGTGGGTCTCTCGTGCTTCAGCCGGCACAGCGTATTCACTCACGTCGTTCCCCAGACGTTCGGGACCACGTCCATGCGCCCACTTCCACGCCACACTCCAGTGAGCGCCGTCGAACCGAGCCGTGAAATCCGCCGCTTCCAACGCCAGTGAGCTTCGCGTGCCGCTGCCCGGCGCCGCCACGCCGCATGCCGGCTCGTCACTTGCCGACTCCGGCGCCTCCTGCGTTGCCGCACTCAGCTGCACGTCAGTCGGGGACCGAACACTGATGCCTCCTAACGCGGTGATGCCGGACATGCCGATCAGCACGTACAACCCCGATGGACGATCTGGGACCACCAGCTTCGCGAGCATTACTTGCTTGCCTCTAGTCGAACGTCACCTGGGCGGTGCCCACGCACCGCAACACTCCATCGTTCACCGTTCGCATCTTGACCGCGCACGGGCGCCACGTGCGGTAGCAGCTCACGTGAACCAGGGTGTCCGTACATCCCGTGTCGAACAGGGCACGCCGGGGGCGCTGGTCCGCCAG